ATCTACTCTGATAAGTTGGTTGAGAGGTTCTGGCAGAACAATACCATTTGCGATTCCAAAAATTCGGACTACTGTTACTCTTGTATGATTGATGTTACAAAATTTTAAAAAATGAAAGGACACGTACTCTCCAGTATTTAGACATACCATCCGATATTTGGAAATACCATCAAATATTTATGATACACACACTCCTATAATTAAACATACCATCCTGAATACAACTGATAACACATAATGACATTATGTATGATTGTAAATTAATATAAGTAAATGAGTCAATATAAATAAGCGTCAACTATTGCAATTGATATCTTGGTAATTTTATATTTTACAAACAGAAAAATCATTAGATGTCTTGTCGGAAGAAAATTTAAATTTTACTTTATTAGGAGCTGGACTTCTAACATCAAGATTGAAAGAATAGGACTTGCTTAGAAAAAATTGTAGAATATCTGTATTTCAAAAAAGACATAAAAAATTTAAATTCTAATACAATGTAAGAGAAAATACTTGCTTCTGCAACTACGTGTTTACTTGTTTAGGGGCCATCCATAAAGGACGTCACTATTTTTTAGGCATTTTTTGACCTTCTTCCCCCCCTTCCTTTGTCACCAGTTGTCCTTTTTTACTATACCCCACCCCCCCTTAAAAAAGACATCTTATTTGGAGCTCCCCCCCTTCCCCAATTTTTAAAAAAAATCCTTTCTTAATTTAAGCATTTTTATTGACATTTTTTACATGTGAATTACATTTTTCTCTGTTTAAAAATCATTCAGGGAGCTGATTAGGTATTCTCTTATTTGCGTTCTCCTCTATTGCAATTACAGCCATTAACTCTCTTTTGCGCTTGGCGGCAATGCGAACAGGCCTGATTTGCGAAAAAGTAATAGCCGTTTGGTTAATAACATTGGAATGACATGCTGACATGCTTTTTGAGCATGACTTGGGAGGCAAAGTACAAGTTACAATGCTTGCAGATTCTCTGAGACAAACTTGATTGCACAGAGGGACAAAACAGATCGTAAGGAGGAAGTTTGAATGATTTCAATGATCGAGGAATGGTGCTCTGAATATTAGAAGCGATAAGAAAAAATACAGAAGGAAAATGGTTCTTGCTGGCAACATCTGAAATGGCTACAGCTTTCGAGCCATCTTCTGACTGGCTAATTGGAATAGGTGGAGGCAGAAATCGACCAGGAATAACATGGAAGTAAGAGCTCCTTTTCAAAGCGCAACATCCGGGATCTTCACATTTCACAATTTGCGTGAAATATTAACTGATGCGCACATGAGAGGCAAACCAGTCCTGATCCTTTGATAAGAGATGATGAACATCGAGCTCCGTGTTGTTGTCTGGATCGATATACTCGGCCACTGTTGGAAACTGATCAATCATCAGACCTGAAAAGAACGAGGCACAGCTATTTCCAGCAAATTTAAAGTTCTGTTTCTCCAAAAGAAGATTCACTGTCCTGCCTTAAATATAAGTCGCAAGGCATATAATTATTTCTTTAAGCTTTGTATACATTTGTATTTTGATAAAGAGTTGATATTAAAAATGAAGTTGAATACCTTTAGAGTCTAGATGAGTTCCATAATGATCATGAGGTAAGATCAATCCCGCCAACTCTTTACTCAGTGGAGCCATCCTTCTTTCGGCTCGATTGAAAGCACTCTGTCCTGGCGCATTCGTCATGATGAATAAGGCATCCAAATCATTTGTAAGGAAATTATGTATTGCTGTAAACAAAATAAATATTTAAATTAGAAGAAACATAATTATATTGATAGATCGCAATAAAAAACTTGAAAAAGAAGGATATACCAATTTCGATGACTTTAGCGTATTGTGGATTTTCATCATGTCCACCATCAACACTGAAGACAACTACTGGCTTGAGCAACTTGGTCAAAGGTTTTTTGTAATGGAATCAAACTCTGGCAGAGTCAAAAGTTGTTCAAAGTCCAATCCGTGAGCATACGCTGTCGATGATGAATGCTTTCCGGAACGAATAGCATCATAAGTGGGACCGGAATAGGAAACTGCGTCAGATTTTCCAAGCCCATCTGGTTTGATTGTGATACCTGCGTATACGGACAGAATGAGTTTGTGCTTTGCAGCAATGACCGAATCATGATCAGGAAGATAAACTCGATATTCCATATGCATCAATATAGGAGCTTGTTTGTTGGCAGCAGTGATTCCTATAGGGATCCGAGCTTTATCGTCTTGACTTATAAAGCACACATCCTTTGGGCCCAAAAAAGAGCAAACTTCCACATTCTTTATAGTTGCTTTACAAAATGGACTATCCATGTAACTTGAATGGAGGTCATTTTGAGCCCGCATCAACTTGACTGGAACCGTGTGGGCGTGTCTCTTTCCTTTAAGCGAATCACTTCGTTTTGCCAGCAAACGAGTATATAAAGCACTTCTGCTAAGATGGTAACCTCTCTTTTCGAGCTCGGCTCCAATTTCATCCAACTATTTAAGGCTCTTTAAAAGTAATTAAAAAAAATTATCAGTAAATAGAGTACAGTGTTTAGAGGCTGAAAAGTTATGAGACCTAATATAGTCGAATAGAATTTTTTATTAGCTAAAGTTGTACCCTATACACTTCAAATTGTCTTTTATCGTGGGCAGCAGATCCATGTTCAGCAAGTTGTATGATGACACGCAATATCTCAGATTGTTCTACCTCAATAGTAGGGCGACCGATTCCGTCAAGTACTTTAAGAGCTTTTTTCACTTCCGGGTGGTCAGCAAACACCTACAGTACCAAAAAAACTATACAAATAATTTTGTTAATGTTTTTAGTTAATGTTCATTTTCTAAAATAATATTATTGTAACTTATTATTATATGATATAAATATTACCTGATTCATGACAGTTTTCTTTTCAGCCCTTGATTTTTGTTTTGACTTAAGATTAATCGTGAGTTCCTGGACATTGGCCTTCTTCTTTTTAAAGGTTTCTTCTTCAGCATCGGTCCATAAGCCACTTCTTTTTCTGCTCTTCATAGCAACTATTTCTTGATTCAAAACAACGATTTCTGCTTTGATTGTGTCTTGAGCATGAGTCTTGGCCTTCTTCGTCTCAATTTGAACTGTGCTTAGGATGTCAGAGCGAGAGACATCTGATGTGGTATCAACGATATCTATCGGCTCAATAAGTTGATCTGTATTGGACTGGAACTCTAAAGCGGAATAACTGGAATGGGAAGGAACAGATCGCTTGGTTGTTTGATTGGCCCAAAATGACATTAAAGAACCTTTTTGTTTCAATACCATTGAGGTATACTTTTGGATCAAAGTCTTTACTTGATCCTTAAAATCTTTCTTTTCTTTGATCTCATTCCATTTTTTATGGACTTTTTTTTGACTATCGGCTTTTTTCTTAAACGGATGAGCATTATTGTACGATTTTATAAGCTAATTTAGGAGACTATTTTTATCCATCCTTTGATATACAGACAACAATGTTGTTTAACACTTTTGCCACACATTGAAAAAATAACAAAAAAATATGCTCTATGTAATGATTGCTGCATAACCAATTCCTTTTAGACAACCATTTGTAATATTCGCTTTAGGCAATCATTAATAATTGCTACACAAGCAATTCCCTTCAGACAAGTATTTGTAAAACTCTATTTAAAAATCATAAATGATATCAATACTATGTCTTTGGGGATGAATTTCGCAAAAAGAATTTGAACAAAAACCCGTAGCGCGTAACTAGTGATATATGTGATACGAGAAACTACCAAGTGTTTAGCAATATATAATTAATTGTAATATATTTATATCTTATCACATATATCACAGGCATATAAACTTTATATATAAAAAAATAATATTTAAATAAATATCAACACGAGTTTCTTTCTTTTATTACAACGTAACATTCACTTACGATAACTTTAGAAAAACAAATGTTAACATAAAAATACGTAAAATAAAAAAATTCTATAAAGTGACGTCTTTTTCTGATGACCCCCCTCCTCCCCCTTGTCCTTTTAATCTTGACCTCCTCCTCCCCCCTATTTGCATGACGTCCTTTATGGATGGTCCCTCATTGCTTTGAGATATTTGTTTAAAACAGGTCAACCAAGCTCAACCAAACTCAAAAATTTAAGTTACAAGGAATTCAAAGATTTTTTGAATGAGTTATAAGCAACCCTCGGAATTATAAAAAATGAGGTCGGTAATAAATTGACAACCTCAAACTGTTAGAGGTTAGCAGAAACTGTTAGGTTAGCACAAAAAATTTGACACTAAGGGGTTACCATAAAACAAAGAAGCGAGGTTGCCAAATTTTTGCCCACCTCAAACACTTGAAATTATTGTCAGCATTCGGCATGGCCGAATGCTGACAATAAATCCAAGGTTTTATATACATAGATGAGTTTTTTCCGGAAATTCCCGGAATTCCGGAAATTCACATAAAACACCTTTAATTTTTCCAGGAATTTCCGGATGTTTTTTTGATATTAATTTGAAAAAAAATTAATATATATTTTTACATAAAATTTTACATACGACAACTTTTGCATTTAAACAAATATGTTTTCTATAATTAAAATTTTTACAAGATCGATTTTTGTAACAATTTTTTTTTCTTCATTTTTTTTTTTTGCTTTTTAATTAATTCAAACTTTTTCGAATATTAGAAATTCCTTTTTTTAAAAAATTAATTAGTATAAATTCCGTTTTAAAATAATCTAAATTCCGTTTGTCAGTGAAATGCGATCAATTTTTAATAAAACAATTTACCGGGATTTTCCGGGATTATCAAAGAAAAAAAATTTCCGGGATTTTCATAAAGTCAAATACTCATCTATGTATATAAAAATATGTTTTTTTGTTTGTTTTGAAAATATTTTTTTCAATCAAAATGAAAATAAACGGTTTAATTTCATTTTAATAAATCTGTTAAACACATCACTTTTTATATGTGTCATCTTAATATTGTGTTACGTAATAATGTTTTAGTTTCTTCATGGAGTGGAGAAGATAGCAGCACTAATTTTAGAAATATTAAGATAACGAATCATGACAGCCTTCAAGATGAATGGGATGAAGATTACGATAAGGGTAGGGTAAAAAAGTATAAAAGTAAAGATGTCAAAGCCCATTCTTGTAAAAATGTGTTCCAAAACTTTCAGGATATTCATAATGCTTCAAAAGTAAGTTTCATTTTTCAAATTTTTTATTATTGTTTAGTGAGTTGATAATTGAAACTTAAATTTCTTGATATAAGTCTAGTTGAAAATAAAAAATACTTCATCAATTGTTGTTCTCACGTTTGGGGCAGGGTAGGGGTTAAAATTTTGGGGTTTTATTGTTTCCAGGCTCCAATCATCGCAATTTTTTCAAAGCAACCTTATTTGACATAAGTATAAACATATAAATGTTTGGAGTTTGCTCCATGTCTAGAAGTTAGATATCTCGAAGACCAAAAAATGGTGGCGCCACCCCTGGCTAAAACTATCGTGTACCGGAACTTAATAGGGTTTTAATAATGAGCAGAAACCTATTATTGATATTTTCAAACTTTACAGAGAAGAAATACAGTGCTAAAATCGTACAGACCAAATTGTGTAATCGGGCAGACCAGATGTCGCTGCAAACTAAATCTCAGTTCAAAAGTTTTGCTGTGTTATAGTTATTATAGAATATAAGTAAATTTACTGACATTAAATATAGATTACTTTTCATTTATTTAATCTTATGTAGTTTAAATTTTATTTTATATAATTTTTTTTTTAATAAAAAAATTTTATTATTTTTAAAATATAATTTACATTTGGTAGTATATTACTTTTATGTAATTCATTTTTATAGTTTTTATTTTCAAAAACGGTTATATAATTTTTTTAAGTTAGTTATTTTCATATGTAAATGTAAATTACAGTTTAAGAAACTATTATATTATGTTAAATAATTTTAAAAAGTTATAAACTTTTACATTTAAAAGTAAACAGCTTTTTCATGTAATTTTCTTTTACATATAAAAGTAAATTACTTTTTGATATAATCTACTTTTACATAACTTACTTTTAAAAGTAAAAAAACTTAATAATAATAACTTAAAAACATAATAGTCGTTTTTAAAAATTAATTGATTATACAATGTAAGTTTAATTTAAATGTTTAAAATTATTTTTCAATTTACTTTTTTATAAAAAATCATGTAAAACAAAAAAGTAAGTAAAAGAGGCTTTAGTATTTTTACATAGTACAAGATGAGTTCTAATAAGTTAAATTATTTGGTCAATCGGAGATTAAACTCTACTTAAATTGAATTTTTTTCTTTTGGTACGTGATATCATTGTTTTAACCTTATTTAGAAGACCAAATTTGTTTTCTCGCTCTTTAAATTTGTCTTTGAGTTTATTCACAAAATTATGCAAAAAAAACAACATGTTCTGCAATAGAAATTATTGCAGTTCACAATGTAGCACTTATTGCAGTTGATTCTTGTTCACAATGTAGCACTTTAGTGTTAATACTGTTTGATTCATTCAATTATTTATGTCAGTCTATTCAACTGCTTCAGAGCAAGTACTTTATTTTCTTTCTTTTATTTTTTTAAATTATTTTCTTTTTGAATGAATTATTTTGTGATTGTTAAGCAAAGTTAATGATATAAGTTAAAACAAGTAAATTTATGTCATATTTTTGCACAATCTACTCTGGAGGTTGCCTTTTATACTTGTTGGTCAAAAGGAATGTTTTTTGGAGCGTAGAGATTGAAAACGAGATTTTTAATGGTTTAGACTTACCACTATAAATCTCATTTCCATCTAATTGATAATTATGAGTCAATAAGAAGGCTTAAAGGAATTAAAGGTGAAAATTTTTTTTTGAAAGTTTGAAAATATTTTCTTTGTGCACAATACAGCATTTGAAAATTTTGAAATCTGCACCATATATTGATCATACGTGAATAACAATCTATTGTGGACTCTAGAAATTTCTGCTTTGATATTGATTTCTGAATTTAGTGTTTCGAGTTCTGAGTAGTTTTAAAGTTATCAATCACTAAGTTAAAAAACAGCTCAGCTATTGTTTCAACAGCATATTTAAAGTCGCCATTTCTATTATTTTTAATACAAGGGTTTTTTATCTGGGCCTCTATCATTGCACTTTGGATCATTCGAATTGGTTTTTGGATCATTGGAATCCATCATATTTAAAAACGTTATTCCAAATATAATTTTGAATAGTTTTTTACTTAAGAATTAACAGTAGACTTTTTAATGTTTTCCTGAACTTGAAATATATATAGGACCTGACCAGTCCACAAGTTCTCTTGCACCAAATCCATCTTCATCATTTTTCAGTCAAGTATAAACTAATTAATTAGGTCTTTGGCATAAAGTGATTGGATATTATATATAGATATGATTGTGGCAATATATCATATAGATACAGTTATGGCAAAAACATGATTTTATATTTCATATGCTGGGCACATTATGTATCATCATTTTAGCTTGTAAAGAAGCTGCTGATCAATTGGCACTTTAGCTTTGTTATATTGGCTCTCCAAAGCATCTTTTGTGGATCTCATAAATAAAACCAATTCTTTCTCGATCAAAACACAACAAAATGGGATCAGATGTCTTTTATAATTATCTCTGGCTTCTTTAATTAGTCTTGCAAAATGGGAAATACTTTTTACCATCTATTGTGTGAGAATGTTTTGGTACAAGATAATAGACCGTTGATCTTCTAATTGTGAAGCCTTTATTGTGCAAAGCTCCTGTCAACTAAGCTTTTCGTTATATCTATAGAATTTTCTAAGTGCTTCCTCTACATCATTTTTTTTTTGTCAATATAAGTTTACCAATTTTTTTGTTGACTACTTTCTATAGGTTCTCTATAGTATTCAAGTCTGAATTTTGTGCTGGATAATCAAACACCTCTATATTTTTACCTTAGAGCCAGGCTTTGATATTTTTTGCCATATGTTTTGAAATACCATCTTTCTGGAATATGAATTCTCCATCGAATAACTCTTGAGCAGATGGTAGCATTTGGTTTTAAAGTATTCTATCGTACCTAAGGGTAGTCAATATATTCTCTATAACATAAATGCGCCCCACACCAATCCAACTGATACACTTTTCATGCTTTATTAACACACTTGTCATGCTTTATTAACACACTTGTCATGCTTTATTGTCCGTAAAACATGCTTTTAATGCATTAATTCACCTGATCTTTTCCATGTTTAACGTCTACCATCTAAACCATTTAGAAATTTTTTTGTTACAGCGAAGCATAATACCCTCTTCCAATCATCAACAGTCCACTTTGCAATATGTCGTTTGATAAGTAACGGTTTTTTAGCAAGTGCTCTTGTAAATCATACTGTACATTGTAAATCATGCAGCTGCATGGGAGTGATTTACATGTTTCGAAAACTTATATTGACTAACTTGAGTTCTTTAAGTTGTTTTGCAATATCTGTTGCACTTTGTCTCACAGAATTTTCAACAAATTTTCAAGATTTTTTGATCAGTCTTTGAGTTGTTTTTCGTTTTCGTCCAGATCTTTTGAGTACTCCATGCTTTATAATTCTCAGAGTATTTTGAACAGTTGATTTAGGCATATCAAGCTGTTGTAATATTTCTCGAACTATTTTGCCTTCTTTTGAGAGCACTTTAATCTCTTTCCTAGCAACTTTAGTCAACTCTTTGCTTTTCACCATAGTAACGGCCGTCAATAGGATTTTTTCCACAGTTGTTTTAGTTTTTCTTAGTTTTCTTTAAGATAATTGAATCCTTTCTTACCAATCGTAGTGTAAAAGTTGTTTTTGATGGACAGCATTCTTCTTCATATCCTGTAACTTTAGGGTTTCCTCAAGAACCTATCCTTGGCCCTATACTTTTTTATTTACTGTAAAGATTATCCAGAACTTTTCATATCTAAGGTGGCATCGTTCGCTGATGATTCTACGATTTATTCTCATTAGATATGAGAAAACTTATGATATTTTTTTTTATCGATTGATGACTACGCAATTACCTCATACTTGTTTTTTGGTATTTTTTATTGCTTTTTGAATTGTTTCAAATTGAATAACGGTTATATCCTGTTGTATATGCTCTTTTAAGAATTCCATATTTTGGTGTTTATAGATTGACTTGGGTTTGAAACATCGATCTAAGTGAATTTGTGCCATTAAAAAGTACTTATCACCCCAACGTGTTTTTATTGTGCAGCTTAGGAATTCTAAACAAATTCCCAAGTTTGAAAAGGGTCGTCACCGTTCCACGCTCATTTCAGGCACAATTTATGATAAATTAAAGATTTACTGATATATATCTAAAAAGGTATATTTTAAAATTGAAATAAGGTCACATCAAAGAAATCCGGCATGATACTGCTATCATTTACAGCTGCTTTAGCATCGTCTTTGAAGAAAAACAGACCAATGACATTTTTCGCGCAGTTATCTGTCCAAAAACGGTCACGCTTTAATGTTTTTTTTTATTATTATTATTAGGTTTTTAACAGATCAAGGGGCATGTTCTTTGTCTTAGAACCGTTTATTTGCACTCTCATCCAAAGACAAAGAGCTTTGTCGCGCAAATTATTTTTTTCCAAAAATTATATCGGCCTGAGCCATGTTTACCGCAATATTTGTATATTTTGTATTTGTTTTATATTTGTATTTATTATTATTGTATTATTATATTATTATTATTATTGTATATTGTGTATTAATTTGTAACGGTGACGGACGTTACTATTTTAAACTTGAGAACTTGTTGTGAATACAAAGCTGCACAATAACAATTCAAAGCTGCTCAATAACTCACTGGTATATTTTAATTGCACGAATCCACTTGGATCGACTTTTCAAAATCTGTAAATAAATATTCAAAAGCATAAGTTACAGAGCTACCAGAAGATTTAAATTGCTCATTCTGCGGGTATTTAATATATAACATTTAGATGTTAAAATAATGGCTTTTTGTTTAAACTATGAGGGGTTTTAGAGGGGTTTACCCAAAAACCTACGAGGGAGCGGGGTTTATAAGCAGCAAGTACGTACACGGTTTGAAATCGTTCGTTTTTTCTTTCTCCTAAAACTTAATTTTTTTTTTTAAACAAAAGCATTTAATTTCAAAAGTTTAACAAATCAATATTAGGTTATGTAGCAGAAATGTTGATTTAACTAAAAGTTTTTTTGTTTTGAATGTTTTGAAATTATTATTGCCCATTATTTTGTGATAAATAATGGGTAGGTATGTATATTAGGGAGGGGGTCTTTAAAGCATGCAGATGCGTATTTTATAGATACATATTTTATAGATGCCCTTGAATATAGTTTATTTTATTTTTGTTTATTTTATTATGTTTTAAAATAATGTAGTTAAAAATATAATTTGAGCACATTTCAAAGCAATCAATAAATAAATCAAATTAAAGAATTAATTGATTTGAACGGTTAAAATGGAATAAAATGGTTGAATCTTTTTTTTATTTAAACATAAGAAATCAAAATAATATTTTGTTTTGTAAATTAATTCAATTAATGATATTTAGTTACATAATTATATATTGATAGTATATTTAAATTTATTATTATAAATTGATCAACAGGATCTGAAGGTTCTAAAAGAGCGATCAACCTTAGTAATTTAGCAACATAGTAAACCATAGTACCAACCTTAGTAGCTTAGTAAACTTAGTATTGGTAAATATAGTAAAACGATCTGAAAAAGGTATCTCAAGAAATAAGTGTGATCAAATGCTTATTTTTTTTATTTTTAGACGTCAACTATTAAATATCAACCTCATTCAAGCAAACACAAGACGTCAACTATTAAATATCAACCTTATTCAAGTAAACACAAGATGTCAACTATTAAATATCAACCTCATTCAAGCAAACACAAATCTTTTAACGATATAGAAGAATTAGTTAAAAAATTTGTATAAGTTTTTATGAAATCTGCAAATCGGTTGGATTAATTTTGTTATCTTCGTCGTAAATAGAAACAATTTCATTTGAAATAATTATAAGAAAAAAGCAAAAATAAATGATTTACAATATTATATAATATTGTAAATCATTAAATAATTTTACTGTAAACTACGCGCACACTCACACACATGTGTGATCGTGACATGTGTGTGTGTGTGTGTGATCGCCGTGAGATATATATATATATATATGTATATATATATATATATATATATATATATATATATATATATATATATATATATATATATATATATATACATATATATATATATATATATATCATAGCATATTTATATGTGCAATTGCAAAATGCCAGTCAGGCTATTTGTCAGTCGATGTATGTACTGAAGCCCCCGCAGCAGGCTATTTCAGTATGACGTCATCATGTTCACCTAACTCAGCAGTATAAGAAATATAACTACATATATCTAACAATATATATACACGCACGATCACACACACACACGCACACACACACACACACACACACATATATATATATATATATATATATATATATATATATATATATATATATATATATATATATATATATATATTAGTCCATCTCACGGCGACGCTATGCTCTGTTATGCGAACATTAGGTATTATTAAAGTACTTAAAATAACCACATAAAATGTATGAAATGAAAACAAGATTGAGACGTTTCTAAGCGTTTGTCAAATAAACCTTGTTGAAAAATTGAGCATATGTGGTCAAAGATATACATTATCGTATCCATCACGCTGTGAAAAATACCCTGACGCGGTACTTTTACCACGTGTTATGTTACCTTTTTTTTTTTACTTTATCAGCGGCACCCCTTAACTAAGGTTTTGAAATTAATACCACAAAAAAATGCTCATTTTTAAACATCTTTTAAAAAACTTAAAAAGAAAAGTTCTCAAAAACCCAATTTTTCTGTTATCTTGCCGAAAATGCTGAAAGTTTGTCATAATAAGGAAGACATGTGCACTAGAGGAAACGTTTATTTAATTAAACATTAAATATCTTTTAAAACGTTTTTTAAAGCTGTAATTCATACATTAATTTGAAAAGTGTTTCAAAACGCTACTTTGCATTTTTTAATTAACAGCTTTCCTACAATTATGTTTTAAATTAATTTTACTGCGAATCATTTCAAACGAGCTGTCTGGACCCATAAAACAGATCAATATAAGACTTTTCACACTTAAGATAATCCTGATATAATATATTTATTAATTTTTTTAGTTAATGATAAAAATTAATTGACTGTTGAAATAATAATTGATTTATTATTATTTTAACTACTACATTTACCAACGTTGATATTTTAACATCTTGTTGTTACCTGCCAATAATAAAAGAATTTTTATTTTATTAGTTTTATTGCGTTATCCAACACGGTGCTTATTACAATTCTCACGCTGTATATTTAAAAAATGAATTTAACTTTCAAAAAAAGATAAACTTATTGAAAAAAAGTTGACACTTTTTATTATTAGGTATTAGGTTTTTTATGCTTGGGTTTCGGAACTATTCGATTTCAAAGCATAATTTAATAACGTTGAATCTCTTTTAGCACCCACTCACGGATGTAGGAATAATAATTTTCAATAAAGTATTCGGTAAAACATTGTTTAAATATATATACGTGGCAATTATATGTAGAAAATATATAAAGATGGTTTACATATAAAAGATTATATATTTTTATTTTTCTATTAATAGTGTTTATTAACGATATAACAATTATAATTGCAACAAAGACCGATTTATACATTTAATGAGTATATCCCATTAATTATGCAACGTCGATTGCAGTAAATGCATTATTTTCATTAATTAATTATTCAATATTATCTTGTGTCGTTCTGCCGCGTCTTTTAGGGGTTGTATTTTAATCTTGTTTAAGTTTTCGTATCCATTTTGAATCGTTCTGATTGAAAGATCTATTGCATTTGCAATAGATCGACTTGATTCGTTGCTATACATCATTCTTTTTTTGTAAAAATATATTCTTTGGTTACATTTATTATTATTATTATTATTATTATTGCTATTATTATTATTATTGCTATTATTTAATGCTGTAGCTGATGGAAACACCAGCAAGTAAGAATTCCACACTTTGACTTTTCATGTTTTAATTAAACTTTTCTTCTTTTAAATAAACTTTTCATCGTTCTTGTTTTAATTAAACTTTTCATGCTTTAATTAAACATTTCTTTTCGATTCAGAATTCGATCAGATTTTTTACTTTTGTAGTCAATCATAATTGTTTTGGAATTTGTTTAATTAATTTGCTTTGACAGCATTGCTAATTTTCAATTAAGGCTACCATTTCTGGAATAAACCCACAGAATCAACAAAAATATTACGAAAGAATTCAAAAGAAGTTGCTAAAAAAGTGATTGCTATATGTAAAAATCGTGGCTTGAACATCTTTCAATGCATAGTAGAAGGTAAAAAAATTAAATTCACACTACCTCAAAAAGAACTGCAAGCTGATACTATATCAATATTAAAAGAAGCGTTTCAATTATGGAACTTAAAAGAACAAAAAGAAAAATTTAAAGCAATGATGGAGGAGAATATTCCTAAAATAGATCTAACCGTCTAGTCGGTCTAGTTATTGGCATTAAAGACAAATGTTTGGAGAGCCAAGACTGGCCTTAATTTAATTTGTAACTGTTTTAATATAAATTAATTTACCTGTAATTTTATTGCTGGGTGTTTAAGAGAAAATAATAATAATAACAATAATAAAAAGCTATTTTTTTAATGATTTTGTCATATTTTATTAGTCATTTTTTGTAGAAAAATATAGATTTTTTTAATAAAAAACTTAGGTTCTTTTTGTTTTCCTCAGGTTTCGTTAAATACTTTTTTAAATAAACAACAGAACCTATAAAGTTATAACAAAAGATTCCAAAAAAATCAGTAAAACCTGATTTTTTAATGATTTTGTCATGTTTTTTAAATTTAATAAAGTTTTTGTATAAAAAAGAGTTTTTAGTTAAAATAATGTCTTTCCTTACATTTACGTTAACTTTAATTGAACAAACTAAATCTACAAAAATATAACGAAACATTCATAAGCAAACAAAAATCAGTTTTTTTTAATGATTTTGTCATATTTTTTAAATTTAAGCATGTTTTAGCACAAAAAAAGGGGTCTTCTCGTAAAAAACATAAGTTTCTATGCCAGCTTAGGTTTATCCTAAAATTTTCTATAATAATCCCACAGGATCTAGAAAAATTTAACAAATGACTCCAAAAGAAATTAGTCAAAAGCTGTTTTTTTGATGACTATGTTATATTTATTAAATTTAAGGCAGTTTTTTTAAAACGTGTTTTATCGTAAAAAACATATGTTCCTTTGTTTCTCTTAGATTAACTTTGAAACTTTCTTGAATAAACCCACAGAACCTACGAAAATATAATAAAAGATTCCGAAAGAAATTAGTGAAAAATCGTTTTTTTTTTACGAAAATATAACAAAAGGTTCCAAAAAAAATTAGTGAAAAATCGTTTTTTTTTTATGATTTTGTCATATTTTCTAAAATAAAGTCAGTCTTTGTACAGAATAATGGGCTTTGTCCTAAAAATTATGTTCCTTTGCTTTCCAAAGGTTTACTTTAACATTTCTCAAATAAACCCAAAGAATCTATAAATATATAATAAAACATTTCAAAAGAAATCAGTATAAACCTGTTGTTTTTTTTTTGATGATTTTGTCATGTTTTTCAGATTTAAGTATGTTTTTGTACAAAAAAGGGAGTTTTTCGTAAAAAACTTGTTTGGCTTAGCTCAGGTTAACTTTATCATTTTCTTTAATTAACTGGCAAATTATATAAAAATTTTAAAAGAAATCAGTAAAACGTGTTTTTTTTAATGTGTTTGGAAAATTTTTTAAGTATTAGTAAGTTTTTGTATAAAAAAGTGGTTTTGAACAAAGGTTCTTTTTCTTCCCTCATATTTACTTTAACATTTTCTGGAGTAAACCCGAGTAATCTACTATTAGTCTAGTCAAATTAGGGTCCAACCTGGACAAAATTTGGATAAAGATGAATTTGGTATCATTCAAGGCATAATTTTATCTACTTTAACAAATCCAAAATCCACCAAAATCCATTTTGGGCAAAAAAGGCTGTGATTATTTTAGCCTATCACTTTTATTCAAATTTATTGAAAATGCAAATAAAAACTGTTGCGTCTACTGTCAATAAGTTATTATAACTCATTATAAAGTTGCTAAGTCTTTATGAAATTTTGTGCAGATATAGCCTAATAAGTAAAAGTTTTAAAAAAGAAAATGTTCAGAAATCATGTTCTTAAATGCTGATGTCAGCAGGTTTTTTTACAATATTTTCTGATCTGGCATTTACTTAAAGTATATTAAAACACCTTTACTTAAAAATTTATTAGATAAATAGTTGAAATAGTGACTTTAAAAAAAACTTGTTTATAAGTATAATTATTTAAAAAAACTAGCATTTTTGAACTATTTCCTTCCATAATAAATATATATTTAATTACTTTTGAATAACTTTTTATTTAAGGTTTAAATATTAGTGCTTTTTACACTCGACTATTATAATAAGATATAAAATCAAAGTCGAACATTTTTTCAAAAATGTTTCTATCTCCATCTTCGCTACTTTTGTATTCATTTTCGCTGTCATCTATATTGACGTTATTTTTTGGTGTATTTGTGCACTCCAAACCTTGGCACTGTCCGCAGATTGTTATGCAATTTATTCCATATCGTCGACATTGGCATTGTTTTCCACATGGTGTTTTTGTATTAGTGCCGCATAATACATCTTATGATATTAGGAATAAGAATTGGTGCAGGAACCTTAATAAAAAAATACTTAAATTGAAAAGTTAATTAAAACTATTTTTGGGAGCTTGATTAAACTTAAATTGTTTATTGAAAAATGAGTAATTTCAAGAAATCGTTTTGAAAGTAAAATCAGCATGTGTGGTTTATTT